TATATATATATATATATTTCATATATACATTTCTATTTTCAATGGAATGAATAAAAATACTTCCTATGTGTTCATGCTACTTTGAAAAATATGTGGTCACCACCACTATTTTCAAAGGACTGTCTAAAATGTCACTGCTTTCAGAACAAAATGTCTTCCCAGGCACCTTTTCTGAAAACAGACACTCCCAAAGGTCTGATTTCAACATGAAGATCCTCAAACTCTTCCTATAATTAAGTAGTGTCTGTTTTCCCTGGGACTTTTCTCTCATATGCCTTTTTCTCAGCAATACCACTGTTTTTCAGATTAACTCCATCTCTTTTCCTTTTTTGTGACATGTTGCCTGTGATGGGGAGTGGAAGGGTCTGATGCTACTCTCTTCTTCCTGTCAGTGCCGGGCAGTACCCCCCACCTGCCTTGAGACCCAGAGATGGTGCCATTCCTAAGGGGAAAGGGACCAACAAGACCTGGACCAGCACGTAAGACCGGCATGTAATGGAGTCAGGTATTTGTTGGGTGATACTCTATGAAAACTGTAGTATATAGCGGGGACTTTACAACAGATGTCAGGTTACCTTCCGCGTTTTGTGGGGGTTTCTCATCCTGGATGATTTCTTAATGTCCACTTCAGTAGTATTTACACAACCAGGCTAGAAATGGGGGGAAAAAAAGAAAAGAGAGAGAGAAAAAGACAAAGAAATCTTTGGGTATGAGGTTCAGGCTAGGACATTTATTAATGACTCACCTTCCAAAGAGCCTGAAACAGGACCCAAGCCTTCTCCTAGTAGTGGACAGTAATAAAGGATAATATAGCCTTCTTGTCTGAACATCTAAAAGCCTCAAACACAATTTTCAAACAATTCAGAGAAGCCAAAAGCAAGTACTTGGGCCCATGCTAGTGGCTCATGCCTGTAATCATAACTACTCATGAAGCTAATATCGTAAGTATCGTCGTTGGAAGCCAGCCCAGCCATTTAAAACCCTTGGAGATTCCATCTTCAAAAATGACTAGTAAAAAGGCAGAATGGAGGCATAGCTCAAGTAGCAGAGGGCCAAGCAAGCAAGCAAGCCAAGCAAGCATGAGACCATGAGTTCAAACAGCAGTACCATCAAAGCAAAACAATACAAACATGAAAGAAAACATCTGTGCTTTGCATGTGAGAGTAGATGTTGGTGTTTAAAACTACGCAGAGAAGGACACCCGACACTACCCCTCTCTACCTCCTGCTACTGCTGAAGTCTATACAGGTTCTTCTTTCTAGCCTGTTCTCTTTACAGAATCTGACACTACTTCTGGATGGCTGCTTGGTTTTCTCAACAGGGAAACTAAAAGTGACATTCCGTTGAGCCAGCACAAATCCCAGAGTGGATTTTTTTCTTCACAGTTATTGGAAATTTAGTGACTAAGAATGTTTGTTTTATAGAAATAGAATGCACCATAGATTTCATGTTATAAAAGAATCGGAAAAAGTATACTGTCAGTATATTGAAGGTATAATATTATACTGTACTTGTTTCTATAAATTTACAAGTTTTCTTCCTTCAAAACGGGGAATTTGAGAAAGTCTGGAGTGCCTGTTTCTGCTTTCTGAAGTTACACAACTATACACTCTTTTTGTATTTGGACAAAGAGATTAGGGGAGGTGGTAGGAAGAAAGAGAAGAAGGAAGAGGAAAAGGATGGAAAGAAGAAAGAGGAAGGAAGAGAAGGGACATAAAAGGAAGAGAACAAATGGAGTAGTATTACAAATTAGGGATATAGTATACCACAAACTCTCCAAAAACAGACTTTCACAACACAGGGAAAGGCAAGACTAAGGCACAAAAATGAGAGAAGAAAGGAGATTCAAAAATATACTGAATCTGAGAACTAGAAAGAACTTCATCCTTTAAAGGTGATTAGAAGTTAATAGTTACATGGATTCTAATTCCATACTTTCAAGTTTAGGTATACAATTTAGAGATAGTTTGATTTTGTGAATAAGAAAGTATTGAATTATACATCTCTGTTCAACTTTCTGATTTTTTTTCTCACAGATGGCAAGAAATTATGACACGGGATGTCTATGAGAGTGGTTAAAGAGAACCATGAATGCGGAACAGTTTTTGTTCATTGGAATGAGGTTAGACAGAGGGCCCCAGGCTGATTTGCCTAATGAAACTCTTTGCAGAAAGAACTCTTTCCTGATAACCCAGACATTATGATACAACTCCACCATCATATCACAATGAGTAAAACAAGTTAAATGATGAATCTCAGTGAGGTGATGCACTTCTATAATCCAAGTAGCACTAGGGAGGCTGAGGCACAGATTGTCAACTTAAGGACTACCTGAGATATAGGGTGAGACTCTGTCATTAAAAAATAGAATAAAAGGAAACAAAGAACAGAATGAGTAAGAAACAGAAAGTCAATGAGGAAAATATTTCTTAAATATTTCCCACAAATAGTA